CTATATCTTTTGATAGCCGGGCACCATCAGCTTTCTTCACCACATTTGCTTATGCACCCGCTTTGTCTTCAGCTGAGCATCTCTTTTAAGGAGAAAACAATTGTACTTTGGTTTTTCCCCTTCCTTCATTTTCCCCGTGATGTTATTGCTAACTCTTCCCAAACCCACTGCCATCTCGTCAAATCTGACTCAGGGTGAACAAACAGGACAGAGTAGAACTGTTCCCCAGCTATAAATCCATGTGGGAGCAGCCTGCCTCCTCCTTCTCCAGCAGAGAGGCTGGGTGGGGCAGTGCAATGCTTAACCTCCCGCACCAGCAGGGATCCTTGCTAGTGGGACCATGAGTGAAAGAACAAAAATGACCATGCTTAATTAAAGCAACAACAACAACAAAAACGTATTAATAGATATCAAGACTGGATTGTTGTTCTTAGGAGCTGTCAAGTCAATCCCAACCCAACATGACAAAGTAGAACTGCCCCAGACAGTTTTCTTGGTTGTAAGCTTTAAAGAAGCAAACAATATAACACAGCAGATTAACAACAACAAACATAAACACCGAAACTGGAAATAAAGACATGGTACAATGTAACATCGTTTTTTCTAGAGGGTGAGTTGTCTGCAGGATTTACTTTTCTTAATTGCATTTCTAACAAATTTCCCAAACTTTTAAGAATAGTAAACATACTTCCAGTTATGACTATAATCCACCTGGAAGCAACCTGTTCACATATTCGGGGTATTGGGGTTTACAATGTGGCGTTGACAGCACATTCAATGTGCGGCGGGCTGCTGAAAACGAGCACACCTGTCTCAGGATTGGTGAAGGCAGGATGCTCCTCAGAAGCCTTGGTGGCAAGATTCCATCTCACCTACTCTGGCTCTGTTATCAGGAGGGCCCGGTCCCTGGAGAAGGACATCACGAGTGGTAGAGGGTCAGGGAAAGAGAGGACGGCGATAGCGGCTTCGACAATGGGCCAAACACAGGAACAGTGCTGAGGATGCGCAGGCCTGGCGGTGTCTTGTTCTGTTGGACACAGGGTCTCTGAGCCACAACTCGACAGCACTTACAAGACAACAGTGGATTGAATTGTGCCTCCCCAAATTCTGAGTTGGGTACTAACCCCATACTCACTGGGAACAGAGACCAGTGTAGGGTGGGTCCCAGGTCTAATCATTTCTGTTATTAAAAAACAACAACAACAAAAACGATTAAATACAAGAAGTACACAAACAGGGGCAGGGGGGCAGTGGGTGTGTGTTTGATGCCAATTGAAGATCACAAGGCAAGCGGACCATCAAATCTGCAGAAGCTAAGACAGGGCCCGCCCCAGAGCCCCAGAGAGACTCTCCACAGCAGGCACCCTGAATGCAGACTTCTAGCCTCCTAGCCTGGGAGAAAGTGAATTTCTGTTCTTTACAGTCACCCACTTCTGGTATTTCTGTAACAGCAACACTAAGTAACCAAACTTGGGGCTAGCCTTAGAAACTCACCTCCCTACCTTGAGTAGTCAGGGACATTTTAAGTTCTCAAGCCTGTCTGCCCAGCCAAGCACACCTTGTCTTCTCCCCTCCCAGCCCTCTGCTCCACCCTTACATGGTAATGATGAACTTTCCAAAGTAATTACTGTAAAAGAGAACAGAAAAGCAGGCAACATTAAATCGTGGAATTGGAAACCCCAGGGAATTATTCTAGAGGCTAACAAGTGCAAATTTTCATTGTGCAAGGGATGCAGCGGTGACCCCGGCTTGTCAAGGCCTCTCAGCTCGAGCTGAACATGACTCCTGATCTAAGGGTTTTAAGAGCAGACCCCAAAGTAAAGTAGTTCCTTCATTCTCTGCCATCTTCATCGTGCCGCCTCCTCACTCTCCTCACTCTGCCTCTCTCCCCACCCTCGTCCAGGCCTCTGCCATCTCCCACCTAAACGGTCATTCATTTCTGCCTCTTGTCCTCTCAAGTCTCAAAGTCACACTGCTTTTCAGCTGCAACAGTAGCCTACAGCTAACATAAGCCTCACTTATATATACAAGAGGGTACCCCAAAATAAACAATGTGATGTGAGGGGGATAGTGCATTTGAAGCTCGTTCCACCAGGTCAGGCCATTAATCAAGCTTTCTATTTAAAGGTTCTGTTAGGTAGTTTAGCTTAGGGACTGGGGCGTCCATTACACATGCTCAGAGGTCCAAGCTACCGGCCAAGAAGGAGTGGTACACTGCGCATGCTCAGAGGTTCAGGCTTCTGGCCAGGAAGGGGAGGTACACCTGGGTGGGTGCTGCACCTGGATTGGCCCACCTAGGCCAGGTAAATTCAATTCAGCTAACGGGGTCGACCAGGGTCATCCACCACACATCCCCGTGGAATAATTGAAAAAAGGCAAAAATTTTAAAAGAAAAAGGCGGGAGCCCAGAGCATGACTTTCCGAGCAGCTTCTAGGGAGACTGCATGGGCCCTGCAGGTGCCTGTGTGAACCTGAAACTTCTAACTCATAAAACTCACTTGGATCACAAACCAG